CTGTTTGGTCACTAACAGTCTTCCTTAGTGTGAAGTCACTAACATTTAGGAGTCTACAAAAAATGTTTCTCTATTTTTATGCCTTTTTAAGTAGAAAATTTTATGATAGTATATGAAGTAATGAAATTATCAGGGCTTTGTTTTCATTAACTTCTTCTTTCATTAACTTCTTCTGTTGTCTGTTCTCAAACTCCCTTTATTTTTAACTGGAAATTGACAATAACTTAGAAGAAAATGTGTAAACAAAAAGGAGTATCAAAATCAAGATCTTTGACTGTAAATAAATGGAAATACTGATTTGTTCTTATATATGTATTCTATATTTATTCTTCCTTTAATTGAAAAATATAAAATCTGTAGGAAGTATACTATGAAATTTTAATTAAAATAAACACTCACTAAAGAAAACCACATCTGCTGTCTCGGGGCATTCTAGTTCATCCAAAATGAGTTGTATAGCTGAATAACAATGGAAGAGAAAGGAGAAGATGAACTTGTAGTTTACATACAGATCAGGTCATACATATATACATACACACTTATACATGTAACAACAACTAATGAAAAATAAGGTCACAAATTTAAAAGAGAGCAAGAAGTATATGGAAGGCTTTGGAGGGAGGAAAGGGAAGGCAAAAATGATGTAGTTATAATTTCAAAAGTAAAAGAAATAAAAAACAAAAAATATCATCAATAAAAACTTGCACATTGTCTTTGTTTCAAAGGAACAACAAAAAACCATTTTTTTTTCCATTTGGGCTATTTGTGACACATAGATCATTCTAGAAATAAATTTTTTCTTTTATTTTCAACCTTTTTTTATTTGAATTAGAAACAGGATTGTTTTACATGACAATCCCAGTTCCCTTCTCCCTCCTGTCCTCCCCTACCCCCCCCAACTAAAACCCTATCTATCACATATCCTTTCTGCTCCTCGTGGATGGTAAGGCCTTCCATAGAGTGTCACCAGAGTCTATTGTATCCTTTGGGATAGGGCCTAAGCCCACCCCTGTGTGTCTTGGCTCAGGGAGTATTCCTCTATGTGGAATGGGCTCCCAAAGTCCACACCCATGCTAGGAATAAGTACTGAACTACTATAGGAGGTCCTGTAGATTTCTGAGGTTTCCTCACAGAAACCCATGTTCCTGGGGTCTGAATCAGTCCCATGCTGGTATTCCAGCTATCAGTCTGGGGAGCAAGAGTTCCCCCGATGTTCAGGTCAGCTGTTTCTGTGGGTTTCACCAGCCTGGTCTGGACCCCTTTGCTTTTCACTCGTCCTCTGTGACTGGATTCCAATTCAATTCAGTGATTAGTTGTGGGTGTCTGCTTTGAATATTAACATTTTTGCTTGTAAAACAAAATAACCAGCAAAATTAATAAAGTCAGATGTGTGTTTGTGCATGTGCATATGTGTTGTGTGAGAGAGAGAGAGAGAGAGAGAGAGAGAGAGAGAGAGAGAGAGAGAGAGAGAATGATGTGTGATATGAAGCCAGAAAGAAAAACATGAGCATAAAACCTGTTCCACAGGAATAGAGGGTGTGAAATCAAATAATGGAATACATTTGCCATGAAAGTGGTCAAGAGAGCTCCTGGGATTGCTCAGTGGGTAAAAGCACTTGTTCAGCAAGCCTGATGCCCTGAATTTAATCCTTAGAACACAAGTAAAGACGGAAAGAGGGAAATAACACAAAGTTGTTCTCTGACTTCCATATATGTGCCATGGTGCCTGTGCCGTACATCTCACATACAATAATAATAATAATAAACAGTAGTAGTAGTAATGGAAAATTAGATTTTTTTTTCAATTTTTATGCTTACTGTAAATGATCACCAAGACAGAACTAGGGTTGGTTTGACTTAGATTTAACTAATGCAATTTGAAAGAGAAAAGTATACCCAGTATAAGAGAGCTCCAAATTTCCCATGAACAACCCTCCACTGTGCTCTTGATTCTGGAGGTTGAAGTGGCTTAATGAATGTGTAGATAATAAGATGGAAGGAGACTGAGCCTGTAGGGGAGAAGCTCTCTCATCAGAAGCAGCTGATCTGGACTTTACTTCACATCCAAAAATGGATTTTGTTCTATGCTTTTAAGCATGCATTAGAAACAGGAATCAGACTCAGTAAGGACTTAGTTGTTTTGCAAACAGAAGTTAAAGAGGATAGACAAAGTTTAGAAATCTGATTCTTTTAAGTAATAGGAGGGCAGAGTCCTTGTAGGTGCCAAACTATGTGACTTGAGAGTAAAGGGTTCTTGAAAGGGAAAGACAGTGTAACTTTCTTTGTCTTGCAATAACAGGGCCATTTAATTGTTTGAGAGCCTTGCGGTTATGAAACAAAGAGACATAATGAGGATGCAAGGATACAAAAATAATTCATTTAAAACATACATCTCAAAATGTTTGGAGTGTGGGTTATTGTGCATGAATCTAACTCTGATCGGGTAGGAAGGTCACCCTTCTCCCAAGTTTTCAGGGTTGTTAATTTTAAAAGACTCCCAAAACCTATACTCAAGAAGAGCTGGCTTTGCAGTCTTTGAGTAAGCTATTGGCCCTTTTAATTATGCCAAAATAGAGCTCTTGATGAGGGTAGAGTCTATGCCAACTGTCGTGGCCAGGCATGTCTTAGCTTTAACCCATGACAACCATGAGGTTCTACTTGAGTGGGGGTGTGTGGACCTGGAAGCTCCTAGCAACCCAACGGCGATGAAATCCAAACACAGGCATCTTGTCATCTTCAGAGAGTTCTCAGTTCCATGTTGTAGAACTAGAGTCATTTCTTTATTTTTCTGGTGTTTCTTAACTGTCCTGCCATGACCTCCAGGGAACCATCTCTCTTTGTTCTCCTCTCTCCTCTGGTCATTTGCCCCTAACTCTTAACCTTCTGTCCTCATAAGTTACTCACATACCTCTGCTCTTCATGCCCAGGTGAGGGCCTATTTAGATGTTTAGATCCACAGAGATGCAAATAAGAGGCATATTACCCTGAGGCCAAGGTAAACAATAGTAGCCTTACTGGTATTAACAATACAATAGTGGGCTGGAGCTTTCCAGTGCTCCATGTTTAATGAGACCAAAGGCTGGATCTCAAAAATATTTCATAGCGGAAATATTTTGGTTCCCCACAGCCAACCCACAGGAAGACAAGAGTGATAAAGGACAAGGGGAAACAGCCACAGAAATGTACAGGTTAAAACAACTAAGGGAACTGGTGAAATGTCTCCAAGGGTATAGACAATTGTTGCTAAACCCGATGATCTGATTTTTATCCCTGGACCCATATGATGGAAGGAGATAACCAAATCCCACAAATTATACTATGATATTCACACTGGTAATATGGTATGTATGTGCTACCTTATAAATAAATTTCAATTAAAAAATCCAGGAAGGCACAGTAATCAGAAAAAGAGCTTTACAGAGAAGAGAAAGAATACATGAAGTATATCATACTGTATTTTCATCTGGCTATTCTACAGAAAGAATGTAGGTCTGGGTAGTCAACTGGTATGTTCCTCTCTATTTCTCCAGCTCCAGTCTGAGCTGGTATATTTAGGAACACACACACACACACACACACACACACACACACACACACACACACATGAGCATACACAGCATAGCATACATACCAAAGCATTCATACCATAACACACACTTCATAAAATGAAAGAAAAGCCCATGATTTCAAGCTGCTTCCTGAACCTCTGAAGTTTTGTACTTTCTTTTACTATTTAAGTGCTGAACACTGACCTGCTTGAGTTCCTGAATGTTTTTCCTCATTAGGATGACATGAACATTCAAAAGCAGACATAAACTAAAAGGTAATTATACTTTAAAATATCACTGTTATTACAATTAATATGTGGAGTGTTGTTGAGAAATGTTAATTGGGTAGAAGTAATTACATACCATTTAGTCATTATAGAAAATAAGATAAATGACAAAATATGCTTTTAATTAGAAGTGAGGTTCCTCTTTTGGTAATGTATAGCACAATGTAACTTATACAAGTTGCACTGAGATCATTTACTGGCAGAAAACTACAATAGGAGCAAATTCAAGTAAGCATTTCAATGTACTGCTTTCTTGTACAATCAGTGCACAGGCACACATGCACACGCATTGACATTCACATTTTTGTGGTGCTGGACATCAGGCCTAGGTGTTCACGAAGATAGGAAAGCACTTTGTTTATATCTATCTATCTATCTATCTATCTATCTATCTATCTATCTATCTATCTATCTATCTATCATCTCAACACCCGTACCAAATTCTTTGCTTTTTTCTTTTAGAATTACTCTAAGAATATCTGTATTATACTGTTTGGTTGCATTAGATGAGAAATCAATTTATTTACCACATAACACTAAGTACAGAGTATCAGTGCAGGAAATTTATATGTCTCCAACCCATCTACTAGTGTAAAACAATGGAACGCAGGGTTGTAGAGACAGTTCAGAAGTTAAGAGTACCAAATGTTCTTCTTGAGAACCTGGGTTCAATTCCCAGCATCCATATGGTGGCTGGAAACCACTGGAACCCCAGTGGAATCTTATGACTTTTTCTGCTAGCACCAAGCATGCATGTAGTGCACAGATACACAAGTAGACAAAGCACCCATATACATAATTTGTTTTAGTTACAAAAAAGATGGAGTAGATTTCTAATTTAAGTTATAAATTTAAAAGTAAAGTTATAAGTTCTCTAAATAATCATAAATTTATGCATGCATATGTGCTTATAATAATTTGGAATATAGTAGATTTACATTGTTTTGAGACAGAACTGGTGCACATTTGTATGCACCAGTGTGAATATATATCCGTATATATAACATGTGTAAGTCAAGTGACTCTAACTTGGCTAATAGTAAATGTTATTATGTAAAATGTATGCATTAGCTGTACTATACTGGACTTTATGCTATATTTAGTGAGCATGAAATGTGTTTGTTCTTTAAATAGTATAAGATGTTTTGATTTCACAATGTCATACCTGAACCAAGTTCATGAGAGTATCTCTGAAGTGTCCCGAGGTCTCTGAATAAATGTCCTCTTGAAGGTTATTGCTGTATTCTGGGCAATAAAACATCCACATTAAAAGTGTAACTGATTACAGAACCTCCTATCAATGGGCTTTACATAGCTAATACTGCTGAACTTTAATGATAAGGAAGCCATTAGTCAGTTTGCTGGGTTTTTTGTGTATCATAAAGTATGTCAAAGATATCTGTAACATAATTGTAGTATCAGCCTAGGTCTGTTTTACTGAAAAGATCATTTTGAGCCAACAGTGAAAAAGAACACTTTGCAGTCTCTCATTCTGTAGATCAGGGTTGTTTATGCCATGCTGTAAACTGTTGGCTGGACTACCCATTCTCCCAAGTGCTCCACCTCATTTTAATGTTTTAAGTGACAGTTCTTATTTCATTCCACTTGGGAAAAGTCTTGATTTATTTTTGGGAAGCATGAGGGTTGACTGTGAGGAATGCTTGATGTTCATAATACACAAAGGGGTGGAAATCAAGGTATTGCACAATTTTTCATATGAAAATTATCTTTTTATTTTAAATGTGAAAAGCTTTAATTTTGAGGTAACTTGTTGGGATGGGGACATTTATGTAAAGTTAAAAGATGTATTTGTTGAGCAATGGTAGCCGTTTGTTGTATGTTTTTACACTCAAGGTATCTCTTGGGTAAAGGACAACACACCTCTGAATTGAGGTGCTGGGCACTTCCTGTCATACTAATGCATCTACTCATAGATACTTGTAATCATATTAAAGGAAAATTTGCTTGATTCCCTAGGGATTTATTTCATTTTCAGTGTGAGAATCATCATTATTACGTAATGAGCAAATTGGTTTTCAGTGAGTCATGATCTTATATTTATTGGCTTCCATAATTAGTCCTTTGATTGATACCTAATTTTTGTATGTATTTATATGGTGCAATATAATGTTTCAACCCATGAGTACATTGTGTAATGCTATCCACAACTTACCATTTTTATATGATACAACTGCTCTCTGTTGGCTACACTAAGGTATAAAGTACATTATTATTATTGCTCTTTATTGTCCTCTTCAGGAAGTATCAGAACTTATTCCTCCAATATATGACAGTGTACCAGTTGCTCAACCTCCCCATTGTCCCTCCCACCTATTCCAAGCTCCCCACCCCCAAAACCCCATTCTACTCCAGTGATTTATATTTCAAACATCAGAGTGCCTGTTGTAACTAATATTGGTGGTCATATTGACACATCTGGGAAGAGGGACCCTCCTTTAAAAAATTGATTCCTTCAGACCCTTGTGTGGGCATGTCTGTAGTGGAATTTTTCTTGACTGTTGATTGAGGTAGGAAGGCACAGTGTAGTATGAATGGTGCCATCTCTGCAAAGATGAGCCTGGACTGGACCAGCTAGGTAACTGAGCAAGGCAGGGGAAGCAAGCCAGTTAGTAAGCTGTGTTCCCCCACAATCTCTGCTTCAGTTCCTTCCTCAAGGTTCTTGTTTGAGTTATTGTACTAAACCCCCATCAGAGATGGACTGTGACCTGTAGGGCAAATAAACTACCCCTTTCTACTTGCTTTTGGTCAGTGTTTTAATCACAGTGACAGCAAAATAAAACAGAAGTGTGCCTCACAAGGATTTAAAATATATAAAATAGAGTACTTTCATAGGTTACTTGAAAAGCATGGTTGTATATGTACATAATATATACGTATTTTTAATTTCCTTACGTAAACAATAGGCTTCTCGCATCTGGAAAATCTCTGCATTTGTTCTCGAAGCTAATATTTCAATGAGGCAATTCTCATCAGTGCCTGCACCCTAAAAGTCACAGAGAAATATGAAGACACTTTTATTTGGAACAATAGACTACTTTCTGTACAAAAAAAGAACAAAGCTTTCACAGTATTCTTAGAGGTGGCAGAGGAGAAAGAAAGTGCATTCAGGATAAAAAGTCAGCTCCCTCTCAGGTTTGTGCCAACTGTCCACTGATTAATGTCCTTGGAAAAATGATGCTATCTGTAACAATTTTGTCTCTTTACTTAGAACTACAGTATGTGCACTGCTAATCAACCTGGGAAAACCCACTAAGTGCTTCCCTTTCCTCTGGAGTGGAATTTGAAACCCCATGTGTTGCTGGAATATTGGCTACTAAGCAGTTTGAAAGTAGAACATAGGTCTCATAATTTATCAAATACGTTTTGGTGACCTGTGCTTCATCTCACTGGCTGTAGAACTGTCCTCAGATTGTCTCAACATTGGACAATCTGGCTGTGTTCTGCAGGATCTTTGAGCATACACTCTGTGAGTCTTAAAGGTAGCACATCTCTTTCAGAAGGTCCCTGGGACATGTTACCATTTTGTGAAGTGTGGAGAAAGCTTGCTGGTTCCCTCGTAACAGTCACATATGACCTCATCTTACAGTTTTCTTTCACATAGTTTCACAAGAAATAGGGGATTGGCATGTAAAATTTGAAAAAAATGTGACTGGTTGGAATTCCTCTGAAGTTTATAGAATCACTGTTCTGATCAGTTAATATTATGGCTAAATTCCATGTATCTTTAGTTTGTTGTCTCTTGCCTCAGGTCTGTCAAATACTGTGGTGATCTGGTCTTTGATAAGCAAATTATGGGAGGATTTTTCACAGTATATAGGAGTTTAATGCAGCATTTGAAAGAAGTCCTTTCTCCCATAATCTCAAAAAAATAAAATCTGTAACAAACCTGTAATTTATTTCATAAACATGTCTTTTCTTTAAGATCTTACTTACTTCAAAGTAAAATTTTAATGCACTGATTAATACTTCCCATATGTATTTAATTTAAGGACATAAAAATAACATCATTGATATTTTGCCTCTGATTCAGTATTTTATTTTGATCCTGAGCTAAATGTTTCCAAGTAAACTTTTAAAGATTTTCATGATTTTCAGCACATCTTCCTCAATTTGAAAATGCATATGGAAGAAACACAAACTTGAGAAGCATGGAAGGCTAACTCACTCAGTGCTGTTGGAACTGAGCTTGGAGATGACTGAGTCTGTCCGATTCTCTACAACCAAAGAAAAGGCTGGCCCCAGCCTCTTGCCTCAAAGACTCCCTTTTCCCAGAATTTCTCTTCTTAACACAGTATTGCCATGGTTACATATTAGATATTCTTGTTTGTCTCCCCAAACATAATCTGCAGGAGCATGCTGATGAAGTCGCTCCTTTGTTGAAATCTGAGCCTGCCCCGTCTTAGGTATATTATAGGGTCAGTCACTACCTTCATGGCATGCCAGAGTTCATGAGCATCATAAGATGGTGGGGGGTACATCAGGCCCACCATCACTTCTTTGAAGTGAGATGAAAGTTGCTCCTTCAGATCTGCAATCAGGTCCTAGGGAGGAAGAAGCAAACATAAAAATATAGGACTCATCAAATTTACAAGAGTGGTATGATTGTAAGGTGTCTTCTATGAAAATTTCCTTTCTCTATCACCAGATGGTAAGTGTGGTTTTGACACACACATACCTTTGGGTTACACCAGACAATGAGCTCAAGGGTTTGGAATGAAATGACTGTTTTAATTACGTCTATGAATGACATAGATGGAAATTTTAGTCACATCAGCACGGTAGCCATTTCTTTTTGTACTCTCTCACCAACTCTCATGCTTCTTTTGGTTTCCTTGTAAAAATAAACATTGGACCTGAAAACATTTCAGCTTGGAGTCTTTGGTTTTCCTGGAAAGAACTAATCAATCCTTAAATAAAATACATGTTCTACTTTATTTCCTCTTTATGTTTTAGCAGGGTGTACTTGGTTATTTAGTGGACTAAAAGCTTATATAAATTGGTTAATCATATAAATTATTCAAATAACATCCATATTATTTAAGGTATTGAATGTTAAATCCTTAAAGAGAAAAACATACATGCTAGATTTTAGTTCTGTGAATGACAGTATAATATATTAAACTGATGCTTTAGTTTTTGCTTTCTATTTTTTGGTATATGAAGGAATTAAAAACTTCTAAATTAAGTTTCTGAGTATTTATCAGGACAACTGAGAGATGTCTAAAATTTATTGTGTTTTGATAAAACCTATAAAATGTATCCAAGTCTACTTAAAAGTGTGCAGTAGTATTCAGTATTTTGCACTATTACTAAGGCATAAGAAACTCTACTCTACATTTTGAATAAATTCAAAATGGTCTGACTCTATTTACAAGGAAAGTAATATGTGTATATGAAATTGTCAAACTAACTCTATCTCAATATCAGGTACGTTTGAAATCAAAATGTGGAGACTCAGACATTACTTACTCCAACCTGCTTTCAAGTGTACAGAGGAATGTTTCTGAAAAAACAGGGACATGAACAAATTATAGGGGAGAGGATGAGGGCTTAAATAACCACCATTTATTTCTGCTGCCTCCAAGAATGGACTTTGAAGTGAGGATGTGAAAAGAATTTGGATTTTCTATATCTAACCTATGATTAGCTGTAAGTAGTGCTGGATGTGATATCTTTGCAGTTTTTTTTAATAGTCTTATTGTATAGCCTAGGTTGGTTTTGAATTCTCCATCCTCCTGCCTCAGTCTCCTGTATGCTGTGATTATGGCTATATGCCTAGGCAGTCTGTTTTGTAATGGTTTATAGGGTATTGGGAGCCTAGACAGTGAAGGCAACATGTATTTTGTGAACAAGGAATTTGTGGTCACTGAAATATGATATAGTGCATTGAAAATGTGAGTGTATTTGGACGGATTCAATATGCCATTAAGAAGAGAAGGACACTCAGGCAGCTGATGTAAAGGTGTAACAATTGAATTGATTCCTGGCCCAACAGCATTCCTCTAATATTGTTTATTCCTTATTTGATGTCCCAATAATTTTGAATTTATTATGTTATAATGATCTAGATATGTGATTAAGTTTCATATGCATATATTTTTTCAGTATCTATTAACACATGAGTGGCTTCAAAAAAATTTTAAACTCAACATGTAGCTAAATGATAGTGTTGTATACACAACACATAGGTAGAATATATGTAATATGATGGGAGACATCTTTCTGAGTATATGTCTCTCTTATTGGTTGATAAATAAAGTACTGTTTGGCCAATGAGGAAGCAAGATAGGTGGGACCAGGAGTAAAGGAGGATTCTGGGAAATGTAGTAAAAGATCCAGGCAGGAAGTGACATGGTAGACAGACTCAGTATATAAGCAAGGGCAAGAAGGACGTTGTTCCTTTTGCTGTTCCTCCTTCTCTCTAGAGCCACCATGTGAGCCCGGGAAGAGGACGCCATCGGAAGGCATCCTCCATAAGATAAGTCTTAGGATTATGGTTGATAATTAAGACAGAGATAGCATATAAGAAATCTTAGTCAATTGGCCAGCAGCATTGTAAAATAATATAAATCTCCGTGTGTTACTTGGGCCCCTAACTTGGCGGGTGGAACTCAGGCAGCTTCAGCAGAAAGACTTATCGTTACAGTAATATGTAAATGAATTCATAATAATAAAAGAATAAACACGCATGTAAGTAAATAGATGTGGAAAAAGAAATAGCTTTTGATTATATGCAGAGAATAGACTTACTATTTAAGTTGAAGATAATGTGAGCTTCCAAGTCTTTGATTTAGTCTTTAAGCACAGCACATTTGTTTGATCACTCTTCTCATCCCCAAATGTATGTAACAGCATCTTTAGTTTCTTTACATGGTACACCAATTGTAGACAAATAACATGTATTTCACTGCCACAGAGATTAGAATTGCCACTAGATGGCGATATATATCTACATTTTGGTGTGTGTGAGTGTGTGTGTGTGTGTGTGTGTGTGTGAGAGAGAGAGAGAGAGAGAGAGAGAGACAGACAGAGAGACAGAGAGACAGAGAGACAGAGAGACAGAGAGACAGAGAGACAGAGAGACAGAGAGACAGAGAGACAGAGAGACAGAGAGACAGAGAGACAGAGACAGAGACAGAGACACAGAGAGACAGAGACACAGAGAGAGAAAGTTAATTTTTAAAATTTCAAATTACAATTTAGTGAAAGAAGCCATATTAGACATCCTTTACTGGCACCATGTTATAGTTTCTAATCATGTTTAAATTATTGGCATGAGAGTAAAAGAGTATTATTAAATTTCTTTGAAATTGCATCTATGAGTAAAGAAAAGAACAGTCCTCCTCACAGGATTAGCATAAGCATTACGCTGCTCTGCTACCTGACTTTGACCTTTGTTCCACCTTTCACGTTGTTCCACCATGTATCTTCACTCCTCACCATTCTCTGAAAAACTCATATAACCAATTAGTCCTGAGCGCCACCCTCAGCACTCCCTGCATTTCTCACCTGGCTTTGTCTTTGTTCCACAGTACATACTGTCTTCAAACTGACATATTTTTACAAAGTAATGGTCCTTTTCACCAAGGCACAGTATGGCTCCATCATGGCTCAGGTTTGACCTGCTTTGTTCATGGCTCTTTCATGAGCCCATGGAGTTGTGCCTGCTAACTACTAAGTATTTATAAAATAAGAACAAAGTGTGCAAATGAATGGATAGGGGGCAACATGCAATTCAACAATTACTTGTTTGTAGTCATTCTTGGCAGTTTGAAAACAAACCAGGAGAGCAATCTCTGCTCCCAGCAGCCTCCCTTGAGTGGAGGGTAAAGAAATCAGGGTACTAACCAGAGCACAGTGCACACAGTTGGGCGAGGCCTGCTGAGGTGGGAATAGCATGCTATTATTAGGGCACCAGGAAGGAGACTGTGCCTTCAGCTGGGAAGATAAATATTGAATTGTATGTTTAAATAAGGATACTTGGAAAGTTCAAAGAGGAGCATTCAAATCTGCTTCCTAATTAGAGCCTTAAACTCTCCCTTGGAGTCATATAAATAACTTCTCAGGTGCAGCCTTTAGAGTGACTTTCCCCAGCCTCATTGCCTCTGATTTCCTTTTCTGCCCGTGAAACAGGCTCCCCTGGAATCACAACTTGCCCTTCCATTAAGCTAATGAGTACTTCCTCTTCAAATTGAGCTGTTCTGTGCTACCTCCGAACTCATTCTCACCACTCAGATTAAATTAAAAATAAAACAATAGTTTCTCATCTGTGATTTCTCTTAGTTGCATCTTCTAACGGTGGAATGGGGTCAAAGGTGGGAGTATGACATTTTCTTTGTTTGAGTAGACTCAGGGGAACCCTTTCATGTGCTTTTTAACTTAAATTCCTTTTCCTAATTAATCACAAAATAAGGCCTTTTGAGTCTTATTGAATACTCAAAAGGCAAGCACATAGAGTGGAGGGTAGAATCTGTCTTAATTCTACTCACGGTGTGAGCCCTGTACAAACACACAGTTGTGTTTCATTGCAAAGACTTTTGGTTGTGAGAATTGTGATACTTTGCTGCAGCAAGAGAATATTCTTTCACATAGCTGCACCCCACATATACTGTCACAATTTATTTACCTCTTTAGTTTCTATGGAGACATGGGTTGTTGATTTTTGTCTGATGAGAATGATGACCGTTTGGTCTTCTAGAGAAACACAGCATGTTGAATTTGGGACAGTTTGGATCTTGAATGTTCCTTGGAGGCTCCCACATTAAATGCTTGGTTCCCAGTGTACCTCTATGTAAAGGTGATGGAACCCATGAGTGGTGGGACCTTGGAAGTTTCTTAAGTCATCCATCCAGGGCACGGAGATGGTAAAATAGTAGCCCCAGCCCTCCCTTTCTCTGCTCTGCCCTCCCCTCCCTTCCCCTGCCCTCCCCTTCCCTCTCCTTCTGTCCCCTGCCCTTCCCTCCCTACATCTACCCTTCTTTCCTCCCACCCTCTCCCTTTCCTTCCCAGCTATGAGATGAGCAGTTCTGCTCTGCCACATTCTTTCATTATGATGATGTGGCACTCACCAAATGTCCAAAATAAGCAGGGTCACTTGCCAATGCATTCGAACTTCCAAAAGTGTGAGTCTATAAATATTTTTCTGTTTATAAGTTGATTGTCTCGGATACTTTGCTGTAAGTGACAGAAACCTGACCAATCCAAGAGTTGTCTGTCCCTCTCAGTACAAATCTAAACTATACCAAACAGTCTTTAGAAAGCATTGGCCAGCAATGGAGAGAGGAACAGTTGAAGAAAAAAACAAAACAAAACAAAACAGGAGAAAACTGCAAATCCGGAGATAAGGAAATAGGCTGACCTTGATCGTGCTGAGGAAAGCAGGGACAAGTTATAAAAATTCTTTGTTTTGGATTTTAAAGTGAAATGTTGGGCAGTAATGCAGATAGGAAACTATTTATTAGTTCATGTGACACAGGTAGTTAAGTCATGTAGAACTGGACCATCACTACCCAGGGCCATAACCAATGCTGTTGTCACAGCT